AGGCATATACAGCGATATAATGCCGCACTTAGCACACTAAATCACTGTCAGCCATAAACTGGTTCAAAAATGTCAATGAAGTCAATATGTCATACACTTTGCCACGTCCGTAAAGCTAAGCAAAGCAGGGAAGGCAAATTTAGCTTTTATTTCACAGCTAGTACGCGCGCGCGCACACACACACACACACACACACACACTCAAACAAGCTTATGCGAGGCTATGGCAAGTGACAAAGTGAGCTGGAGACGGACAAAATGTTACCCGTCTGGCTACCTGGGCTGAGGTTGGTAAACGACAAACAACCACAGCCAGCAGACCGAAAATGCAAGACAAATAGCTGAGAAAAAGTGGGCCAGAGAATAGAGGTCAAAGGGGAGGCAAAGTGAAAAATACTGGTAACAGCTCTCTGCCAGCGGCAGCATTCACTGCAACAACAATAAATAAAGCAGCTGCCAAATTGTAATTAATGTGAGTCGGAATAGCAAGCAACTCAAAGGCAAACACCCACACAGCCATACATATATGCACACACACACACATTCACTCGATCACATGCATCACTTATGAAATGTTATTGAAATATGTAGCAGCAGCTGCTGGCACTTCGTTGTACATACATATGTACATATATACCCAGCGTTGCGATATGAAGAAGATGAACGCTCACATGAGCCAGCTGTTGAGGGCAACTGATTTTCTAATATTTTTTCCATGCATTGCTTTCAGAGGTGATGAAGTGCAGTAAAGTGGCGCTGCAATATTTTTCACACACACACACACACACACACATACCGCCACCCGCAAATGCGGTTCTAAATACTTACTACATGCATGCAATCAGAGGCGAAAATTCACAGCCAACTAAACGGCTTGCCATCAGCCCTGCACTATTTTCCCCCATTTTCGTGCTATTTTACCTGTTTTGTGCCCGAATCAAGTGCTGCCAACAGTCTCAAGTCACTGCATCGATTATGGCATACCACATGGAGTAGAGTTCTGCTGCTTGCTTTTGCACACTTGCCACCTGCATTTCCATTCGATTTATTTGCATTCATTCCATGTCAACGAAGCGATAAGCTGTCGGTCGTCCTGTTCAAAGACCTGCAAGCGTGTCTACTACCTATATATGTGTGTTTGTATGTATGTGTACGTATGCACTTCTGCGCAAGGAGAGGCGTGTGGGAGGGAGTTGACGGAAATGGAAGAGGCGTGACATTCGTGCTGAGCATGACATTTTAGCAGCTGGCCCCTGGTGCTGTGTGTGTTGACCATTTCACAGTACTTATGTATGTGCATCTATCGCTGCTCTACCAAACTATATGCCATATGTATGTTTGTATACACGTACATCAGCGTGCGCATTAGTCTGTGCAGTTTATGCACATGTGCGACCTTTTGACTTGTTGGCGACTTTATTCAGAGTTGATGGCATTTATTTGCTTATTTCTTTTCTTCATTTCCTCATTCAAATGAAGCTGCTAGCATTCTGGTGATCTGTTCTGCATTCTTTTCCACTGTCGTCTAAGTAACATCGTGTCATACTTAATTCCCAAATGCACCAGTGGTGATATTTGACTTCATTTTACATATCGTTAATTTCGACTAGAACATGCTCATACATCTGTGTCTCTCTTTTGTTTTTGAATGGAAGAACCGGTATATATGCGAGCTGGAAATTCTTTTTGTCTCGATTTTTCGATGTAAGTAAAATGCGAATGATAAACACAAATATTAATTCGATGTATGAGTTCAGACTTCAGCCACAAGAAAATGGAAAAGATTCCTTAACGCGATTAGTTGGAAATTATATGAAACGATTGTCTTGCTGGCTGGTGTATTTCAGTTGCTTACCAGGATTTTATGAACTGTGAAAATGTGTTCAATTGGGGATTTCCCTGGTCTGAAGCAACGCCGATAAGGTACAATCAGTTGGGTTATCAAGAACTCTAGTCTCCGACATTCTAAAGTCCAAAGGATTTTAGAAACAATATTGAGGAGGCATATCACGCGTTAATGGCAACAAGAGCAGCAACTGGCTTTGTGTAGACTGGTCAAACACACAATGAAGTTCCAATCTTCAGCACAACAAATTGCGCTCAGCAGTCATTAAATATATGCGGACGAATAGCTCTTCGCCGCCGGCTTTGAATAACTTAGATGCTGTACTGTTTGGCAAGGTCGTTTTGTTGTTTTTGTTCCTTGTGATTTCTTTTTACACAGTTTAGAGTTCAGTCAAGCATTTTTTTTTTTGCGATACCGAAGGAGAGTACATATATGTTCCTGAAATATGTATAAGTTCTTATATTATAAAAGCTAACTTGTTTAGGGCCGTACTATCAAGTAACTTTTAAAATCTATCTGCCCTTTAAACACTAATTTTGTTCTGAAAAAAGTTGTCTGAAGGAAAGATGAATTTTAAAACCTACACTAATAAATAAAAGAGTTTAGTTACATGGACTAAGTATGTTTCTCTCAATACATGATTTGGTTATAGTTACAAAATAATAATAGTTACCGAATCATGTGTTGAGAGAAATATATTTAGCGGACTTTTTCTAAGTGTACTTGAAAAAAGGCCCTAAATGGTGGAAAGGAACATTTGAAGGAATAATACTTATTTAAATCAAAATTTCACAAGAAGCGAAATTATTTGAAGAAAAATAAAAGAAAAAAATAAAAATAAATANTACTTAATTCCCAAATGCACCAGTGGTGATATTTGACTTCATTTTACATACATTTAATTTCGACTATCACATGCTCATACATCTGTGTGTCTCTTTTGTTTTTGAATGCAAGAACCGGTATATATGCGAGCTGGAAATTCTTTTTGTCTCGATTTTTCGATATAAGTAAAATGCGAATGATAAACACAAATATTAATTCGATGTATGAGTTCAGACTTCAGCCACAAGAAAATGAAAAAGATTCCTTAACGCGATTAGTTGGAAATTATATGAAACGATTGTCTTGGTGGCTGGTGTATTTCAGTTGCTTACCCGGATTTTATGAACTGTAGTTGGGTTATCAAGAACTCTAGTCTCTGACATTCTAAATTCCAAAGGAAGTTAAAAACAATATTGAGGAGGCATATCACGCGTTAATTGGCAACAAGAGCAGCAACTGGCTTTGTGTAGACTGGTCAAACACACAATAAAGTCTAAGAGTGTTTTTAGAATCACATTTGAGATTTTTTTATTTTTTTAATTATTTTTGGATGGTTTATTGGAGTCTTTTTGGAGTGTATGATAAAAACATTCCAAGGTAAAATCATTGAGAGGCAGTCTGACGTTTGCCAACAACATAATTTTAAAACTCGAACTCAAGCTTACACACACATTCTCTCAATGTTTGCAAACGTCAGAAAAAAAATCATGGCCGACGAATTGAGAAAATGATTTCACCTTCTAATGTTGTTATCATGTTAAATTGTTATCTAACATTTTTGATGTTTTTAAACCCCCTTTTTTACATTTAAATTTTCATTTTTTTAATATTATTTGTTATTAAAATATAAAGAATTATAATAATTAAAAATATAAATATGTACATATACTATATACATTCATACTATACACCCCATGCCAAAATTATAAGCGTGCCACATATTGACAAGTTTTATTAATTTATAATTTTTTTTTTTTAATATTAGTTATTTTTTTATAAAAATATAGATTATTCTTTGACAAAAACCGTATAAATCAAACACAATAAACCCCTTTTTTTAATAAATTCTACGATTTCAGCAGCTTCCTTTCAGCATAGTTTTCTGGACATGTTTCTTAAAAAATATTTATAATTATTCACCTCTTTATAAAAAAAAAATATACACGCATGAACGGCTCAAGGGTTGACTTTATATGAACAGTTATATAAAGTTCACTTTGCAAGACGCCGTTGCAAATTCTTTTTAAGTCCCATTAGATGAATGATCAAAAAATGCTGCCATAAATGAGCATTAACGTTCATCACTCCAGAAGCTCTCAGAACATGGGTGCATTATTTGAAGCTTACGATAAAACAATCCCAACAAGCTCAAAATTAAGACCCCTTTCGGATCCTTTTTTCGGAACGCTCTCTGTTTTTGCTAGCCGGATACTGTCTGGCCAGGTGTTTTTGTTGTTGCAATTACTTTTTACGCAGTTTGGAGTTCCGTCAAACATTTTTGTTGCGATATCGAAGGAGGGGTACATATATGTTCCTGAAATATGTATGTATTATAAAAATTAACTAATTTACGGCCTTTCTATCAAGTAACATTTAAAATCTATCTTCCTTTTAAACACTAATTTTGTTCTGAAAAAAGTTGTCTGAAGGCAAGATTAATTTTAAAACCTACACTAATAAATAAAAAAGTTTAGTTACATCAACTAAGTATGTTTCTCTCAATACATGATTTGGTTATAGTTACAAAATAATAATAGTTACCGAATCGTGTGGTGAGAGAAATATATTTAGCGGACTTTTTTCTAAGTGTACTTGAAAAAAGGCCCTAAATGGTGGAAAGGAACATTTGAAGGAATAATACTTATTTAAATCAAAATTTGACAAGAAGCGAAATTATTTGAAGAAAGATAAAAGAAAAAATGAAAAATAAATGTTTTTATATACACTCATCTGTCAGTTCTACCAAACAAACAAAACCGATCTACATATATCAGAATTCTATAGTCTTTGTTGCCAAAATTTTATCCGGATTTTATCTAATCACTGGCTACAGGTAACACCGCNGGCAGATAAATTTTAAAAACTACTTAAGAAAACGACGCTTAAAGTTAGAAATTTATAATACCTTCTTCTTTTAAGACACAACTTTATAGTATTGCAAAAAATAATTGTTATAATATAAAATATAGTTATTACAAACAAAAGCTCCAATATTTTCATATACTATGTACTTGCATATGTACAATTATATAACTACATAGATGTAGATAATGTTCACTTATCTCAACAAATGAAATAATTTAAGTTTTTATTTGCTTTCGCTTTTATAGAGTGGCGCTGGCAAATCAACAGCACGTATTGGCGACGGTCCAATTTTGACACTGGAGAAACTCGAACGTCAACAGGCTGGAGTCTATCAATGCACCGCAGACAATGGAGTTGGCGAACCGGTTACAGTCGATATGCGCTTGGATGTTTTATGTAAGTAGAAATAATATGCAAATGGGGAAGTTTAGTTTTTTAAATTGCCAAGTAAATTATATGCAAGAGCTGGAAATAAAGGCCCGTACGCAGTTTGCAAGAAAAATCACAAGAAATTTTTTTCATTAATTCTGTTAAACAACTCTCGAAGAGACGGGCCTACAGATGCCTACGGTATGACGCAAAATAAAAAAAAAAAATAAAATTCTGAGAGCCTACCAATAGTTTTTAGAGTTCTGCAATCGCAAAAAAAAATAAATAAATTTCAAAAAAGTCGAAAAAGTGCAGTTTTTGAAAATATTAAAAACTAAATCTGTTCAGAGTAGTTTTAAAATAGTTCCAGAGCTCCTGGGATGGAAAAAAAAGATCTGCAAAATTACGTCGAAAAAACAGTTTTATCAAATAAGTCGAAAAAGTAAAATTTTTGAAAAAAAAAACAGAAATTAAAACTGTTCTGAGTTTTTCAATAGTTCTAGAATCCTTGAGAAAGAAGAAGAAAGTTTTGCAAAATTACGCCCAGAAGCAATTTTTTTCGAAAAAGTCGAATAAGTTAGATTTTTGAAAAAAAAATAATAAAATTAAAACTGTCCTTAGTAGCTTTATTTGCGTTTTTGCCACATGTCATTGCATTTCGTTGGCTTCTTTGTATGTATGTTTGTAGAAAAATCGGTAACACCATCGATGTTTTAATTTGATACATCGAAACTACCATCAATGTAATTTTTCGAAACATCGATTCTTCGAGCATCGATAATCCTGGCCTGGTTATTAGGCGAGAACAACCATTTTGTTATTACATCCCTAATTTCAGTAAATTTGTTGCTCATACGCCCCATACCACCAATATGCCTAAGAGTAGTATGTACATACGTACATATGTACAATGTCTTCTCCTACGCTGTTTGAGCTCCCACAATTCGCTTCGAGTTTTCACATATAATTATATCCCTAAAAACCTCAAGAAATACTCAAAAAAAATGNATGTACATACGTACATATGTACAATGTCTTCTCCTACGCTGTTTGAGCTCACACAATTCGCTTCGAGTTTTCACATATAATTATATCCCTAAAAACCTCAAGAAATACTCAAAAAAAATGCATAACAAGATGCCATACAATGCTAGGGAAAGACGAGCATATTTTATCCTCACTGCCAAAGTCCTTGCCACAATTCAATTGAGTCGTCATACTCTCAGTAAAGTTGCTTTCTTTGCATTATTTTTCTTGCAGGCATTTTTTCATTTATCATACATGTGTTGAAAGCTTCCAAAATTCACTTTTTCGCCATTTCCACTTCAAACCTTATGTATGTACTCCTACAACTTTCGAAAATGATTATGCGCTTCAAAAGATAAATGTATACATAAATTAAAGGCAAAAAATACTACGCAAGAAAGACGAAAACAATAAAAAGTAAAAATGTGCATATGAGTATATATACATCNGCTTTCTTTGCATTATTTTTCTTGCAGGCATTTTTTCATTTATCATACATGTGTTGAAAGCTTCCAAAATTCACTTTTTCGCCATTTCCACTTCAAACCTTATGTATGTATGTGCATGTACTCCTACAACTTTCGAAAATGATTATGCGCTTCAAAAGATAAATGTATACATAAATTAAACGCAAAAAATACTACGCAAGAAAGACAAAAACAATAAAAAGTAAAAATGTGCATATGAGTATATATCCTTCATGTAGGAGCTCCATCGCCCCCCCGTTCGTAACAACTGCGTAGCTTCAAAAGATTCACTGCTAAGCAAATGTTGCAACGTCTGTGATAAAAAAAAAAAAATGTTGAGTGTGGCGAATACAAAAAACAGCGAAAAATTTTAAGTGGCAGCATTGCGCGCGATATGCAAATAACTTTAAGACAGCCACGAAAAAGAAAAAGAAAATAATATCTAGCCGCACAGAAATGTGAAAAAGCCAGCAAGTCGTACAGGAGTTGAATGAAGACAGAAGAAGAAAAACAGCGTATAATAGCTAGAAAAAACAGCACGAAAATGTATGTAGCATTGAACATGTGTATGTGCATATTTGTAGTAAGTATATGCATATGCATGTGTGTAGCTTCACTCCGCCACCTCTGCCACTCTTGCTCTGTCTATTGCTCGCTTGTGCCAACACTCTTGCGACTTGGCGAACAATTCGTTACGCTGCATGCCTCATTCAAATTGAAAAGTGGAAACTTATATTTGATAAATCAGTTGGAAATTTCATGAATTTTCGCATGCGAGCAATGTGAGTTTTCCTACGTAATGTTGCATTTTTCTTATTGCAACGAACTATGTATTTCGCTATTTTTTTTTTCCTTCCAATTCTTTGGTAACAAGTGCGGAAGTGTGTGTGTGTGAAATACGAACAAGTTTTGAGTTTTTCATCAACTGCTCGCTGCAATTTCCACACGTAACGAGTCTCTGGAGTGCAGATAAATGATTCTGTTTTTATAATTTATTTTCTCAATGTCTTTTTTCTTTACCGAATAGTGCATCGCATGCACGTGCTATCCGCTTAGTTTTGGGGCATATGTCGAAAGATTGTGTGGCAATTACAAAATTTCTTTATTGCAGACTCAATTACGAGTATATATTTAGTTTATGCTTAATGCGAAATCTTTTGCCATTTGTTTAATTCCGTATTCTTTTCTTTTGTTATGCAGATCCGCCAGATATACAAGTGGAAAAGTCTTGGATACACTCAGGCGAAGGTTTCGAAGCTAAGCTGGTTTGCATTGTCTACGCTGATCCAGTGGCTACGGTGAGTTTGATTATTAGAATGATACTTTCTTAGTGCTTTCCTAGGTATTGCATAATTTTTGCTTTTTATTTGATAAGGAGATTTTTAACAACTTTTTTCTAAATAACATATATCGCTCATGCCTTTTGACTCTTACACAACACTCGTATAATTTTTTGGAAAAAAAACTATATATTACTGCAAAAGAATTCCGTTTCGAGTATCTCCACTAACAAAAAAAAAAACATGTTTTACAGTACACTATTTGTTGAAATAGTTTTTCAATAAAATAAAGGAATTGCTGGTACTATGTGCAGTCCTAGCAGTAAAGTCCTGTCTGAAACCCAAAAATTGAATTTTAAAGCCTAAAAAATATTCCAAATATTTTGTCAGAGTAATAAACGATTCGAGTGTCATATTTCACCGAAATCTGTGCAGCCGTTTCTGAGTGGAAAGAGGTCTCGCATAGTCGGTTTTTAATATCACCAAATTTTAAACCCCCCGTACAGATAAAAGTTGCTGACTTCAAAAAATTAAAACCTTATCCCCCACCTAAAGGCAAATGTCTTTATTTTGACCCCTCATACTTCGGAAATAAACAGGCAGGATCTGCAAATTTACTTCCGAATGAACTTCTGCAAAGCTCAATTCGTGTTCGAAGCGAATTTGATTGATTTGATGCACTCGGAGGTGAATTGCAGAACCTGCCTGAAAGCCTTTGCAAATCCAATTCGATTGACTCTCATATTTTAATAATTCATTTAACTTTTTAAATAATTTGAATGTTAAATAGGTGGAAACCCTCTTCAAACTACTAAAAAATATTTCTAGAGTTCAAACTAAAGATTTCTCAACACTCTTTCGTTGGGCACCAATATTTTAATATTCCAACAGACACCAGCCCTTTTCAAAATATTTTAAATTTATTTCGTCTCACACCAAAATTTATATCCATATTTCAATTAGGTAATTGCCTTAATTTAAGTTGAGTTGGGTTTTTCAAACAGGTGGAAACCCTGTTAAATATATTTTAGAAAAACAGCCTTTTGAAACTCGTTTTGATGATGCCCATCTTTTAATAATTCATCCAACTTATTAAATAATTTTAATGTGACCTTATAAACACGTGGCAACCCTCTTCAAGCATCCTAAATGTTAAAATTAAGGTTTTCTTCACGCCCTTTCGCTTGACACCCGAGTGTTCATATTTCTAATAACTTGCGTAAAAGTGAATTAAATTCGACTTTTTTAACATGTGGCAACCCTCTTAAAAAGTATTTTCCAGCTAAGACATTCTCAAAATATTCTCCATATGACATTGCGATTGATTAACTGATGAATTAAGTTGATTTCGATTTTTAAACATGTGGCAACCCGGCTAAATATAGTCCAGAAAAAAAAGATTTTTCAAACTACCTACGATTGAAACCCCGTGTTGAATAATTTATTTATTCTATTAAACAATTTTCAATTCAAACTTTTAAACAGATGGCAACCCTCTTCCAACACCTCAAAATTATTCTTAGTATTCAAACTAAAGACTTCTTAATATTCTTTCGTTTGACATCCATATCTTGATATTTCTTATAACTTGTGTATAAGTTAACTAAATTTTATTTTTCAAACAGTTGGCAACCCTGTTCAAAATATTTTTAAACTACTATCGTCTGAAATCCTTTCGTTTGACACCCACATTTGAAAGTCCGATATTTTGCACCCAGTAGGACTCGAATATTTTTTTCGTAATTATAAATGATACAAATCCACTCGTTGGTCTCAGATTTTCCACTTCCTATTCCTTTCCTTAAAACTTTAAATGGAGGACAAGAATTGTCAAATACAGAAACCAGCTGCTACACTGCTCCTAAAACACTAATCTATTCCACAAATCTATGTGTATACATACATACATAGATATGTATATGTATATGTACATACGTATGCGAGTGGTTGTGTAAGCGTGCTTTGATATATTTTTTATGCTTTTACTAAATTTTTTTCTTTGTTTCTTTCTCTTATTACGCTGCAGGTGTCTTGGTATCAAAACTCATTTCCGATACAAACGACCGATAGGCGAATTATGGCAACAAGAGGAAATCGCCACACGCTCACCATACGCCACATACAACAAGAGGACTTCGGCAACTATAGGTGAGTGATGATAGACATAAAAAAATAAGAAAAGAAAATACCTACATACATAAATAAATATAGAAACAAAAAAAAATAAAAATAAATAAAGCAAGCAAACAACATTAACTACATTCGACAGAAAGTGAAGCAAAGAAAATAACAAAAAAAAAAAAGAGCAAAAACCTTTGGCAAGAAAATCAAATAACATTAAATGATGGGAGCGACAAAACATAGTCCATAATAACAGATGGGTTTGTAAGTGCCGCTGAGCATGCAGCTTGAACTAAATGAACTAAAATTAAAAGTGGGAGAGAAAATATTCCGACTGACCGTCGGCTAGAGCAGCGCACCTTTGAATTTCTGCCATACAATGGATGTACAACTTACTTCCCACCCACACCTGCTTAAATATGTATTTGCTAGTGACCGCTTACGGCGCTGATTTACTCAATTGAGTTAGTACAGAGTTTTTTCATTCACTTTGTCCTTTTCTTCTTTTTTTTTTTTTGGTAACTCTCAACTAGACGACAAAGTTTTTGAAGTCAAATCATGAACACCGTCATATGACTTACCATTTACTTTACCACACACACACACCCGCACTTATATACTGCCACACGATATTAGCCAATCCCGGCAGGTGATAGGATCGCCGTCATGCATGTGTGGACAAACAAGTTTTTCCCATCAATGTCAAACTGTCTATCTCAAAAGCATATTAACAAAAACAAAAAACAAACATTAAAAAAAAAATGCTTGCAAACAACTAACCAGAAAAGTCGAAAGTCCAACAGAAGTTGCCATATTGGCCGTTGCCGTTGCTGCTGCTGAGCATTTCAAACAAAAGTTCGTCGACAACAGCTCTGAGATTAGTGAGGTGATGTGAAGTTCAAGTTAAATCTCTGACACGCCAATGCGCTGATTGACATGCTGGTTATATTTACATATGTACATGCATACATAAATGCATATTAGGGTGGAGCGAAAAAAAAATATTTCGATTTCGAAATTCTGCAGATGCGGAAAAGTTGCGTCGTATCTTCACATTTAACCGTGCTAAACCGTTTTCCGATCGGGTTTATATGTATTCGCAATCGCCACAAGAGCCCTAAAGTTGAGAAAAGTCTCTCAAGTTATGGTCCTTTTATACATTTTTGAAAAGTTTTCCCAGAAAGGTTTTGAGTATGTAGTTTTGTAGCCCGTTAAATGTTAGTATAACAAAATACAATTTTGAAATTTTTAAATTTTTTTGGTTTCTAATAGTTTTTAGCAAACGGCGAACGACTTTTTGCATAAAAAAATGTCGATCATAGTTTGTATGGAATCTTAAAAAAAAAATATAAAATAACCATAATTTCAGAGACTTTTTTGCAACTTGAGGGCACATGGGGCGAATTAAATACTACCCGATCAGAAAAGGGTTTAACACGATCCAATATGATTATGTTAGGCAACTTTTGCACATTATTAGAATTTCGAAATCGTAAAATTTATTTTTTTGCTCCATCCTTATGCACACCCACATGTGTAAACTGCCATAGAAAATACTTTGGCATAATTTGTAACATGTGTGCGGGCCGGTGTTTCAAAGGGCACTGGCCGTTGTCTGTTGTCCACGGCTTGGCTGTGCTGATCTGACTGTCTGTGCCTAATCGAAAAGGAAATTACATTTTCGCTATGAAATTAGTTTTTTAGTTATGGCAGTGGGAAGGTCCTACGACTTACTCAGAGTTGAAGAAGAGATATATTAAGGTGTTTGGCTGAGTATCGCCGGTGGTGAAAGCGATAAATTAATTATGAGCTTAAAGGTGCTCAAGTTTATTATACACACGCATACATATGTACATACATACATATAAACTATATTCGGAAAACGAACGGTTAATTAGCGATGAGAGTTGCGGAGGTGTGTCGACACTGGTTTGTTCTCTGGTGTCATTGTCTCCAAAGCAGCTATTTGGGTAACAATTAGCGAAAAGTTTGTATCATTTCCGTGAAAATGAAATTTTTATTTACATCATACGGCCAAACATTTTGGGGATATTGTGTAGGTCTGTACTTACATATATGTAATGTGTTTGATTTATTTCAAATTTTTAGGGTTGATGCACAAACATAAATAGTAAACAAATATGAAATTTGAGCTTAATTAACACATTTTTAAAAACTTTACAGCACAAAAACAAAAGCAAAGCGACTTAATAGATTTCCATACATCTGGAGAACGCGGCGAGGAAAAAATTTGTGAAAAATCACACATTCACACATCTAAATTCAGTACGAAAATAAATATTTTAAAATTTTTTTTCTCAAAAAATTGTTCACGTACAAATTTTTTGATAAAAAAAAATAGTTTTTGAAAATTTGCAATCTCAAAAAAAAAAAAATTAAAAAAAATTGCAGTGGTAGCTCTGAGTATTGCGCAATATTTAAGTAAGTATGGGGTGCACTCTACAATAGTTTGTGTTATGAACTTTTCACACCGAAGTTAAGAAAAAAAAATTTAAAAAATTTTTAAATCTATTATATACTCCTTGTACATAATAAATTAACAAATTTATATATTTTTTTTTTTAGAATTTTTTTCATATGCAGTTTTGTCGCCCATTTAATTTTAGTATAATAAAGTGCAAGTGCAAAAAAAAAACAAAAAAGTATTTTTCTAATAACGGTTGCTCCTCGGCAGTTGATGGCAAACAGAAGATACTATAGAATCCGAAGACAACGACGGTGACTTAAACGAAAACAATGAAGAATACGGAGACGAATACCAAAACGAAGAGGCACCTTAAAACGATAACTAATAGGCGATTTGGACGTGTTTTTTTTCTGTTTCTATAAAGAGAGTTTGTATTGTTTCAATATAGGGAGATTCTTTATACAATGTAACTTAGTCGCGATGCATCTTTGGGCACTTTAAAGAAACAAGGAATAAAACTATCGAACTTCGACGAAATAAACTTACGCCCAACTTTTCGCTTTATAAAATAAATACTGCATAAATTCAAGTGAGCCAAATAAACGAAACGCTCCGAAGAGCAAGATAAGCAAATTACTTTAATGTGGTCGAAAGTAATTTTCTAAAGAAAATGTACTGTCACTTAAGTTGCCCTTTTTCTACTTAGCTAGAACGTAAATTTGTTCAAATAAAAATACATTTCCTAAATAATTACTTTTACAACTGATAGCTTTATAAACGAATACACTGCTATCCTCAAAGCAAATGCGAATGTAGAAAGTGAAAGTATAAAGGTGCGGCTAACTGCGAAAATTTAGTTCCAGGAAAAGATGTTTTGTTTTTTCAAACGCGGATTTACCTTTAAGGACATTTTTTCAAATACATACATACTTACTTATATTCCTATAATCAAAGGAAATGACTAGTACCTCTATTACAGCATAGTCATATATTTACACAAAATAATAATAAATAAATAAATAAATAATTTCAGCTGTGTGGCCGAAAATTCACTTGGACGTTCACGCAAATACATGGAGCTGTCTGGACGACCCGGTCCAGCTGAATTTTACTCACCGAAATGGGGTCGCTCATCGGACAGCTACAATCTGACATGGAAAATTGATAGTTACCCACCGTTGGAGGAGGTGCGTCTGCTCTATAGGCGTGTGTTGGTGAGTAGATACAAATAAAAATAAATAAATTAACAAACAAACTGAAGTGGAGCAATCTAGTCTAAATAAATAGGAACAGCGAATGTGTGTGAAATATAAAATATAAAAACATGAAAATATCAAAAAGCAAAGAAACGCGAAATGGAAAATTTAAAAAATGTACAGCTAAAACACTGCAGCAGCTACAACGAAACAGTTGCAGTTTATGTGACTATCTATCAAACAAGCAAAAAAAAATATAGATATATATAAATAAAAAATATATGACAAATATACATANCGGTTGCAGTTTATGTGACTATCTATCAAACAAGCAAAAAAAAAAATAGATATATATAAATAAAAAATATATGAACAATATACATGCATAGGTAAAACAAGTGCAAATAAACACCAAAGAGCACATACTACGTTCGAAATTGGTCTCGGATAGTTCCAGTTATTGCAGCTGCAATTCACAAAAACCAAAAGCATCGCCGCTGACCCATTTATTTTTCTATATTTTATTCTTTAAAAAAAAAAAAACGAAAAATCATGCAAATAGAATGAAGTAAACTAAAAAAATTGGCAAATCGAAAAATATCAATTGGCTAACTAAGTGTTCGGTTTTGCGAAACACTAGATATAAGAGTTACCCTAGCATTTCCATGTGTTTGTTTTGTTAATTTTTCATTTTTTCATTTCTTCTCTTTCACCGAAATACAACTCTCAGCCACAGCACAATTATTTGTGAATTTCATTTTTTATTATGGAGCTTAGTTTTACTTGAATCTATAAAGCTTAGCGATTAAAAAATTCACTTGGGTATAAGCTGGTTTGGAGTACTCACATATATATTCGTATATATTCATTTTCAATGTTTATTTGCTTGATAAATTTTGAGTGCAATTTATAAATGGAAATGTAGAGTAAATTAGAAAAAAAAATCAATATTTTCCACACTTCGTTACTATTTGTATATCAACATGTTTGCAAATTTGAAACCACTCAGCAAGATAAACTGAAAAATGTTTAAAAAAAACTAAAAAATGTTTACATTTTTAAGTGCCTTGTGTAAGCAGTTGCAATAAACAAATATAATTTTTCGATTTAAAAAAATCGTAAAATTTCAAAAATCACAAAATAGTTGTGACAGCTATTCTGCATGCTGACATTTTTTTCATTTGGTTGCATACTCTTGAAACTTCACANCCAAACACTAACATACATACGTGTAAGCGCCAATCTATTATTATTTGAAAGCTTCCCAAAGTAATTAAACAACAAACACACTATTGAACCCGCATGGCGTTAAAACACCAAAATTAAGTTTAACTTTCTAAACAGGTTGAAACACTATTCAAAATCCCAAAAAATGTTCCACAAGATTCATATAAAGACATTTCTGAGCGAAACTGTATGTCTTGTTCGAAAAAAGCTAACTACTTTTGTGGGGCGATGGCCGCAAAAAAGTCAGACATACATCTCAACTAACTTGTAAATAACTACTTTTGAATATAAAATATCAACAAAAAAAAAATGTTTTGTTAATTTTTTATTCATTTTTATTGTTTTACATTTTTATTTTTTTATATTCAACATTTCAATTTAGTCAGACATAAAATCAAAATGACACCAAACGCTTTTGAACTTCATTTTATTTGTCCTAAATTCGAATAAGAATTTATGAAGTGCAGAAGAAAAATGTATTTAAAGTAGTTTTCATATGAGTATTTTTAAATAAAAACTTGTGAAGAAAACCAACTCCCGATTGCGTCTGCATGACCCCTCCACGACTTTACAACTCACTTTAAGTTGCTTTTGTCATAGATACATAAGTGCGGTATTTATCGGAATCCCGCCACAAAGCCATAGGTTGGTTATTTGGCCACTCAAATGACGGAAAAATAACTAAGTTTCGTAGATCCCAAATTTCAATGCTCTACAAGTACTTTATCCACATCATTTCAAAATTTATAGTGGATACACGGGTACCGGTTATGCGTTCTAGGGTTAATCGGCATTTAACATTAAGGAGGTATTAAATTCATTCATGTATTCTACTTTTGCATGGAAGCAAGTGATTAAAAAAAACGCTGCAAAACGAACGTGTCCAATATAATGGACAAATCCAAGGAAAGGTGGCGCAGTTATCGAGATATTTGAATAACCCTTTTTTAAGATCCGATGTGGTTGAATTTATATTACAACTACACAAAAATTTTATCCGTAGGTGGAGCAGGAGGCGAGATATGCTACTTAAATGGGAAGAAATAACTCCTGCAAAAATTTTCTGCCATGCCTAGATTGGAGCGTTAAGTCGATGTTCAGACACGAAAACTTTTGTTGCGGAAACTCGAAGCTTGTAGGGGAGAGAGCGACGAGGAAAGGGGACGGGTTCCGAATCGCCCGTACTCGGGAAACACGCTTTGTGCTCTCCTTCGCCTGAGTAATTCAAGTTAGCGGTTCACAGCTGACAACAACAATTGCGTACAAAAGAGTTTCTGAGTGTGAATGCAAAGGGCAACACCAAAAGAGAAATCGCCGATAATAAGAAACTCGAGTTTCCGTGTTTGAACGCAGACTAAGCGTTGCGTTTTCCAAAGCCAACGGGTGCCAGCCCGCTATACCCAAATAAACTCGCCGTAATATTTGACGTTTTCCCATTTTCTCTCGATTAATCTTTCACTCTTTTGTCAACGCCATTTGCTCAGAGCGGTGAGCGCCTCATACAAATTGTATGGGCATTAGGATTTTTGACAGTTCTGTGGCGCTTGTCGAGCCAGTGTAGGTACGGCAGTTAGCCGTAAGGTGGCGCGGTGGTTGTTTTTTTTTATTTTCTATTAACGACTAATATAATCTTGTATTTAGAAACTTTTTTTTTATTACTTGTTATGGATTTCACTTTGTCCATGTCATTACAAAGCTTATACTACTCATTTTACTATCTTATTCAATAACCGGCATCTACGCAAAAGTGCCAAAGATCTTCCATAGAATAGTTTTCTCGAAAACCACCAAAGCGTTCTCTTATTCTTTGTTCATTATCGTTCATATTTCTGCGTTATATGTATAAAAAAACGTATAGGCTCGATTTTTGTTTGTCGAAAATGAGCTCCGCTCAGCATGAGTTATTCCTCGTTTTATCTACAAGATGGCCTTATTGGCGGTATTCTTCATCACTTCAAAATTATGACTGCCATCATCAGAGACATGTGTCCCAATATGGGCAGACTCTTTTTGTGTTGCCAGGGGGTATCTACTTTTACTTGTTTTCTATAACAAATTTCTCCTGACACGAGTTATATGCTGTACTATCAGATTTCGTTAATTGAATTTTTAATATGCCTTTCTCGGCTAAGAGTGCCTTAAGTATCATTAACTGTATATTTATTGGCGATTTATGCTAACGATAGCACTTGCTGCTTTCACGTTTGCCTAAAAGTCTCATTACGAATAATATTATCTACTGTTAATTGCAAAAATCATCAATGACTACTCATTAACAAAGCCTTAAATCGGTATTAAAAATTCCCTCACATAATTTAATTTACATAAACTAATGAAGTTAAAGTAATCAAGTGGGTGATTTTTAATTAATATGCGTCAAAAGGAAAAGTGTTTGCAGATAATTATCAATCTCTTTCTATATATGTACATATGTATGTGTATGGACAAGTCAAGTAAATATGTATCGTGTATACTCAATGCTTCACCAATCAATGAGCGTGCGAGTGTTTTCTAAAGAAAAAAAAATATGAAATCTTTTAAGATGATTAATATTGTTAAGTGTTTGCTTTAAAGAAACAAGCTCATTATATATTTAAATTGGAAACCGACTAGATATGTGGTACTTGATGGAACTGGAGTGCAATTAAAGCAATTTCACAGAGACGATACTTGTATACGCTTTTTTTTTTTAAACAAATGCAAACTTGTGGCAAAAATTACTGCTGTTAGCATTCTATAGAAAAGCATACTTATCATTCCTCAGTAGGCGTTTATACATACATATGTATATACCTGCTTGTCTCAAATTACACTTTTGGCGCGCTGTCGCAGTTTGTGAAAAGAAAATCTCATTAAATCTTGTTGCTGTATACTTATTACCGTTAATTTTGATACTGGCGCAAAAATCATTAAATATCTCCTGCATATGTTTTTAACAAATCTTAATTTTTATATTTTTTCCAAATAAAAGCAATTTTTATTATATAAAAGCTTGAAGGTGTTTTGCACTCCTACACTTACACACATATGAGTAGTGTGCGTTGCACGCATGTGATACGTCGTCAATCTCGTAAAATCTCATTTTGCGTTGCAATACTGACACATCGCTTGTAGACAAGTACTGCTTCCCACATCAGTATGGATATGTATGAATGTGTGTTTCTTTCTGCGTGCATTTAAGTTTTCAGGCACTCTTTTAATAAAATTTTAATCATATACTTCATTAATGCTCGACATTCGCATTCATCACAGCTTGTAGGTATGTATATATTTATATACATACATATCTACTTCTACAGTAAAAGGCGCCTGCGGCATTTATGCGACAGCGCATAAAATCAAAGGAAATTTAAAAAATATATAACCCACTACTGCAATGATGATGGCTATGATTTTTATTGCCATTAATACAGCAAAAATTTGTTAAGGTCACATGACCTCATTACAACTAAAAAAATTAAATCAAGTGATTTTCGCTTACGTTATTTAAATTTATTTATGTAGGCAGAAGTATTTATTTGCCTCAAGTAGTTTTTAAAATCTATCTGCCCTTCAAACACATTTTTTGAGAACAAAATTTTGGTTTAAAGAGCAGAAGAATTTTAGAAGCTAATTGAGAAAACGGGCCTTAGTTGAATTAATTTCATATCATTTTTTTTTCAACCAACAAAATTTCTTTTTCATAATATTGACGTCTAAAAGCGAAAAGTGCAAAACTATAATGCCAGCTGTAAATATATACAATTTTATGCGTGAACATTTTTCAAACACAAGCGTTTCTTTATACTATTTACACCTGACAGTCAAAGACCTAAGTATGTCTGGCATCCATTTCATGTCGTTAAACGGAAATTAATTTTTTACTTTACATAGGTGAAATATTTATAATAATTAAAATGGTTTACCTCCCACATAGCACTAATTTTTTCCCATTTTCCTTGCAGATGAATGACACATTCCAACAGCCTGGCAGGTGGCACGATTTCATACTAACACCCGAGCATCGCCCCGCTTCGGAGCCACTAACACACATTATGTCGTACACTATAAAAAATCTGCATCCTGGCGCTTATTATGAGGCGATAGTGCAGGCGAAAAATCGCTATGGCTGGAATGAGGTGAGTAATTGCTAGTGGAAATGCAGCAAGAGGCGCTATGGTCCAGTTGGTTTAACAAAGTAATGAATGGGCAAAAAAATAAAAAAATATTTAGCAAATATTGGTATACGGCGCTATCACTGAATTCCTCATAGTCTGATTTTCGTGAAATTTACGAAAATGGGATCACTGAATCTGAATGGTTATAAACGAAGTCATTCAAAACATACGCAGCGTACATGTGACATTCGTAGCTATTCAAACTCAGAGATTTCGTAGATTTTATGTAAAAACTGACCACGATGGATTCAGTGACAGCCCTGACAGATTTTCCGAGCTCAGTTTTTGATTTTCATATGTATAATTTCTTCGACCAATAATTTGCTGTAACAAGTGGTAGGTACTTTTCGTCTCGTGTTTTTAGTAAAAAAAATCTCATAGAATTAAATTCAATTTAACTTTCCTGTACTCGGCAGTCTACATTTGTAGCATTCCCAGATAACACACATCTCTATGTTTGGAGAACGACTGATTTAATAAAGGTTTTATAAGGCTCTTTTCATAGACTGTGCTCTTATAAGGGTTTATTAGGTTCTAAAAAAAAGAGAATTTATTCAAAAGAGCATTTATAAGACTCTGCATGCAGACATATTTTTATATGCCTCTTTTTCTGTAGCCTTTTCTCTTCAATTTCATGATTAGTAAAAATCCTCTACTAATACAAACTTTTAGATCTCTATAGACTGTTCAGAGCGATTAATAATTTTTTTTTTGATGAGTAATTAGTCAGCAATAAGCATAATTATACACCTCTATAAATTTTCATATTTAGAGCAATTTCGCATTCTCTTTTTGAAGTACGATTTGTCTTCATAAAGATCGTCAACGCTCTTCAGTCATATTATATTATATATTTTTGAAGTTATAAAGCTCTATAAATCTTTCTGTGTTGATATTTACTTACTGGCGGTTTATTCAATCGCATAAAAAGATGGAGCCCTGAGAAAACGGTGTTGCAAATTGGTTAAAAAAAAGATTTGGATTTTCAACCAAAATGTTATTCGATTTCTGGAACCATTGTTTTTGGGAACTTCCCAATCTTCTGGTAAAGCTTCAGTGCCAAGACGTCCATTTTTGCAAAATTAGCCAATTTTAAAAGATTTTCTTCGACTTATTTTTATAAAAATCTCAACAAGCTTGAACGATCGTTTGATTGAAATGTAGAAAAGGATCTCAAAACGAACAAAAAGTCTTTACTTCCAACGAAATGTCATTTTGTAGATTAAAATTTTGATCTAAGAGAAACGTATTCAAAAGTCTATTGAATGCTCTCCACATAAACTGTTTTAAGACTTGAATATTTTATGTTTTGATCGTTTTGTATGACTTTTCTATAATCTCAGAGAAAATGCTCGATTCATGGCTCTTCACGTAGACACTTTTGAAATTTTTTGGAAATTTAGGATTCGAGTGTTTTGTATACATTTGATCAATTCATAAAAGAATTAGTATGTTCAAGTGCTTCGAGTAAACTATTTTGGATTTTAATAGACAATCTTGCTGTAGCGCCGTATTTTCTGTGTATTTTTAGGTAATGAAAAAAAGTTTGAAAGGTGAAAAAATTAAAATTTTAATTTTCTTAACTTTTTCTGAATTTTTATGATGGAAAATGATTCATTTTTCTATTAATTATATTGAAAGACAAATCGGCCTATAAATGTGTTAGATAAAGGAATTAAATTTTTTTCTTTTCGCGGTAGACTTTCCACTGGAAACGCCCTTATTTATTATTTATTAAATTGTTTCCTTGTTAAAATTTTATGATTTTGTCATAAAAGTGAAAATATTTTGGGAAAATCGCTGGATCGAGAAAAACGGTATAGAGATCCATAATCTACGACAAAATATAAAGTTTTTCGTGTTTTGAAATTTTTGTGTGCCATTTCGAAACTTAAGAGTTTCCGTACAGTACGGTACAAAGGAGCGTTTTACCGGAGTATCTGCATTTATAAATATGGCATGTCTAATCCCAAGTAATAGTTGCATTTCTATGCATTTTACAATATCCATACGATTATAAATCTGGTACAATTCGTCATCCGTTCTAATTAAAAACTAGCCCTCGCCAATACAAAGAGACTTTCGTTGTATAGTCCTCTCATAAGCGCCCTAAGCTTTCTCACCTTTGTTTGGCATCATGTATGTTTCTAACCAACAGCTCACTGAGGAACCTGTTAGTACAAGCTGTTGTTCGCTTAATCTTCAGAAAACTCGATGAAACGTTGGAAAATATACATATTTATTTCCTGGAAAATACTTTCTTATATATACTGCTTTCCTTTGCTNTGTAAGTCTCTTAATTTCTTATACACCCGCTATGACTTTAATCTTTACCCCAGCAGCCAAAGCGTTTCCCTTCAATTGCCTCATCCCAAAGCTGTGCTCATCGCATAAATTTTATTTACGCTCATCGTAAGCTTCACTGCAGCACTTTATCTCAATCTTTCACCTACCGCACGCACATACCGCAGACCTTTAGAGCGAACTACAACCACAAATCTCAGATGCCATTTCACATACCACTGTCATTGCTTTTCTTATTCTTTCTTCCACTTCCTTCTCGATGGGCTCTGCTCAATCTCTGCGCGCACTCGTTTCCTTATAACAGCCACAATTAATTATTGCATTCTTGCTCACACTTCTGTGTGTTTTATTCGACTTACTCTTGCCATTTCTGATTGCAGGTCAGCGATATCTTTCAATTTATCGTCGCCAGCAATACCATGGACATACCGCCAGAGGACGCCGAAGTGGTGGCCAGTTCCAAGTCGCGCAGCAATTCTGCCGCCATCGGTAGCACGCATTTCGCACCGCACGCGCACAGCCGCACCATTGCATGGAGTGCGCTCTTCACCATCGCCGCAAGTTGCTTACTCCAGCGTCGACTTCGGCAGCGCGAAAGTTCCCTGAATGTGGGATAAACGACGTAAGTGGGCGAACTCTAAGTGGGCGGCAAATTAATTTAACGTAAGATATGTAATTCGATGCTTTTGTTGATTATTTATTTTCAATTCGAGTGATAAGCAAAGGATGCAGTAGAGCAGCAGCAGAAACGGAAGAACATTTAAAAGTTAAAAGTTAAATATTTAAAATATCTATTTTTAAGGCAAACAAGTAGGTGTATTTATAATGGATAAGCAAAAAAAAAAAAACCATTAAATGTATCGAATATCTGTATAAGCAGGGGGAAAACGAGTAAATGGATTAAATAAACTTTGCGGTTATGTTATGTGTTTTTAAACAAAATGGTGTTCACTTAACTTGCGTCATATTTTTTCAAAAGGCATATATACGAAAGTACACCATTAAATATATGTAGCTTAAAGAAAACCGGAGCGACACGTTGAAAAACAACGCGCAAAAGTTTACGGAAGTTAAGTTAAAAAGCTTTTGATGTATAACTAAATGTGGGAGCGTACTTACAGGTAGAAAATTTTTTTTGAAATGCTTGAAATGGAAATGAGTTTACTGTATGTACATACAGTGGTGGAAAAACAAATAGGGGACGCGACATTTTTACAAATTTTACCTATTTTTATTTGTATATTTAATACTTAAAATTTTTTTAATAAAATATAGCTCATTGACTAATAAAAATCTAATAAATTCATGTTTCAAAGTTTGTGCAAAAATTAAAAAATTCTGCGAATTTGCGTCCAAACTTTTCATTTTTTAAATAGATTTTTCAGATTTTTTTTTTTGTTTTCAAACTCGTTAGATTCTAGTATATTAAAGTGGAAGTTTGAAGTTGCAAAGAATCCAGCTGATTTTTGGTTGAAAGTTGAAAATTTAGATGCCGATTTGCAGAATTTTTGCATAAAGTTTGAAATAGGGATTTATATTGTTTTTGTTAGATAATAAGCTGTGCTTTTACCGTGAAAAAAGTAATAGATTTTAAATATACAAAAAAAAAAANA